GAACAGAAGCATGAGATCATGGATCTCTGGGTAGTTTTCTTCGGAGTTTTAGCTACTGATTTTGGCTGAACCAACATCATCTTTTCCCCTGCTAACATGGGCTGGACACAGACTGAGAAAACCTGAAGTCAGGCACTGGCTGAGGACTCCAGACATGGCTCTGCTATTGCTCCCTTGCCACACATGGGCTCTGGGAAGGACAGTCCTGCTCATTCCACCCTTTGGACAGCTGGTCTAGGTAATTGTAAGCTGCTGGTCTAAATAACCGTAAGCTCATTAAAACAAGGATCCTGGACACAGCACTCAGCACAAAGGCACCCTTATCTCTGGCTGAGCTCCCAGGAGCTGCCACAACCCAATGTTTTGGGAATTTGCAGGATCTCAGGATGATCCAGGGAATGCAATGCATTTAGGACCACCATAAAGCTGTCATCCCAATAATCCATGCAAACAAGTGAAAGCAGCAGGCAGCTGCCTATCTTCCAGCTCTGTCCTCTGCTCCACTTCTCTTGGTAAAAAAAGAAGAAAGCAGCTTACGCGCTTCCGGAGTCAAACAGACAGGCTGAGCTGTCAACACCAACACCTCGGAAAACTCACACGCTTGGAAATGCTTACCTCGTTTCAGGATGTGATGCAACACACTGTAGTAGAGCTAAAGCATTGCAGACTCTGTTGGACTGATGGGCTGTCAAAGTCGGAGGGTTGATTGATGGATAAATATTTACAATTTCCTAAAAATTAACAGATGAAGAAAAGCTAAAGGAGAAAAACACCAGAAAGCTGTACCAAAGCACTTGCCCAGCAAGGAACTATGGTGACAGGAGATGACAGTTTGCTTTCACCAAGCATCACTTTGAAGTTACATGGCAGCTACCACGCTGCCCAGGCAAGGGCAGAGCTGGGTCAGAGTCAATTTGACAGTCACAGGAACGCATTCAAACCTTAATTTCAGTAAAAAAGGGTTCATTTGATTTCCTGGCTCTTTACTAGCATAGAAACTGCTTTGTTTTGAACTTCCAGATCAAAGAGGAGTGTTACTCCTGTGCCTAGAGGCAGAGCACACCCACTCTATTCATACTGTAGCTGCTGGTACTCTTCTAACTCAATGCAGGGGAAGCAGCTGAAGGCAAGAAATCCAATTCAGAAATCTGCCTGCTTCCAACTATAGCTCCCTTCTAATTTTCTTCACTTGTTTCAAGGCCACTCCGAGAACCATTTGACATCGCCAATTCTGCACTCTTTTCTTTCCTTCTTTCAAAGAAATGACTAGATTTGGCACTGAGAGATAGCCAGTCATTAGCTGTAGAGTAGCTTGCCCAGAGATAAGCTGAGCCGCTTGGTTTCACATGAAGTGCAGGTACATTCCCTTGCAAGGATCTCTGGAGCAGTGAGCAGCACTCCGATGCTGCCCTGCCAGCGGGCTCCCTGCAAGGGCAACCTTCTGACCAGGAAGTGCTCAAGCTCATGCAAAACAAATCAAACCAGAGATATTTGGAGTAAGACTGTTGTGGCTCTACTACGACATTGTAGGAAAATAAGCAGAACGTGATCCACAGGGAGTCACACACCCAAGAACTTGCTTGTTCCCCTTCCAACTATGTAAGCTATCTAATTAGAAATCTTGCAGTCTCTTACACACATCACCTTGCTAGTGATGATTAACGGCAAATGGGCTTCCCACATCTCCCCTCACCACATGATCCAACATACATCATACTCCCAGCGACAGCAATAAGGGACCCCACCAGTGCCTCCCCAGATCTGCCCCGTGGATGCACAAGTTCTGCAACGTGCTGGTGCTGTGCCACGGAATAAAGACGCTGCCAGTCCTACCCACCTGAAGGAGGGCTGCAATCGTGCCAAACGAGTGCCACAGCATCGGGGCAAGGTCAGGCACAGACTCACGCTTCTTGCTCAGCTCCAGCAGCGCATTCTCCCGTGTCTCAGGGCTGGACAGCTCATTGATCCACTGGTAGATCTTTTCACGGTCGACCTGAGCCAGTGCTGTTGGCACAGGCTGGGAGGGAGACAACAACACTTCAGTCCAAACATTTTATCCGAGTCTCGCCCAAACCCTTCCCACAACCTGGCAGATAAACAAAAAAGGGCTCAAGAAACTCCTGACTGGAGGAAGGAAGAACTAAAGCTGCATTAAGATGCTCTGGATATGGATCCCTTCCTTCATCTTAGTCTTATTATTTCACCTATCTGAAACACAAAGGTTTTACTTTCTGGCCTGACTCGTTAGGACAGTCTCTCTTAATCCACTTGTTAAGTAATACCTTGTAACTTCATTCAGCAATATAAGAGAGCCATGCTGCTGCCTGTCTGTGCCAGCAGAGCTCCCGGGGAGGTCACACATACTTTAGCCAGCTATCATTTGCTCCGCCTGCATTTAGCACGCATTCATTTCACGCTCCAAGTGCGAGCTTCCACAAATTCGAAGTAATGCGGACGCTGCCTTTTTCTCTCCAAACACATCCATGACATTGGAGCCTGCCAATGGGATTCCCCCAACATACATGAGAAAAAAATATTCATACAAATACTAGGAAAATTCTCACTACTCCAATATCAGCGTGACACCGCCCACAGCCAGTAACACCTGCTGTTAGAGACGACTCATGTTCATCCCATATATCTTGCTTGCATGCATGGAGCTAAAAGGGAATTTTTCAAGACTGATTTTGTGGAAAAATTCCTGTCCAAAATAAACCCAGAGAAGGGTAGAACTGTATTCACAGTCAAGGCACATTTTCTACTACTCAGAAGAAATGCAGGATTTCTCTTCTGCCATTCTTGGAACATCAGGGAAAGAACAGCATCAAGGCCTACAAGGTTTCAAGCCAAAGAAATGAGGGAAGGCTGGGAAGGAAAGGAAGAAAAACGTGGAACTGTGGCATAGTTTCTGTGGAAAGGGCAAAGAGCAAGTCTTTCAATGGAAGTTTGTCTCATGCCTCTGCTGGCACAGCAAGCACTCAAGGTGTAAACAAATGCTCAGCAGGCTTCCAAAAGAGACAGTTTGGGGATTCAGATCCAAAATTTCGAGGGAGACAAACACGGGCATTAAAACCCGCTGTGCAAACACTTCCAAAAGCCAGTTCAGAATCTATTCAAACATTCTGCTGCAGTGTTTACTGTTCAAGTGAAGCACAGCCCTGCTCGTACGCTGCTGCTCCTGAGCTAGCCTGCATGCAACCAGCTCAGCATCCCCATGGGTACGGCAATCACAGCCGGGAGCAAAAAACGGACTGTATTTCTTTTTTTAAGCCCAGACTGAAACTCTCCATGCGCTTACCACACCAGATGTGAGCTCTGCCTGTATCGCACTGACAGCAACACTACTACTAAGCAGCTCATCACTGAGGCGCTGCAGAGAATACAAAGGAGTTCAGGAATCGAAAGTGGCTGAAATCGAACCTGAAACCACATGCCAGAGGCAGGCTCCCAGAACTGCAGGAGGGGTGAAGGGAGACTTCTTAACCTTTGGCAGGCACCTCCAGAGCTTTCTGTTTCTATTTCTGCAAAGGCTTCCCTCTTCTGTTCATCCACAAATTATATCCATAGCCACATCCAAAGAGATGCTTCCCCAGCTGTGGGATTTCTCTCTCCCCCAGACAATTTCATCGTATTATTTAACTTAAATGTCTCTATATAAGCCAATGTGCTGTTATCAATCTCTATACTCTAGGGCTCAAATACCTTTATAGCTGTTCATCTTTCCTCCTATCCTCTTTTTTTCTCTCGTCTACTCATTTTTTTTTTTTTTACCCAGAACCTCACACTAAATTACTAATCCTGACAAATTTACTGTGCTCTTACAGCTGAGAGTGCAATTCCAATGGCAACTCCTACATTGGAGCTCAGAAAGAGAGGGAGAATGAACAGAACTCATTTGTTTTTATTTGGGATAGTAGAATGACAAGCAGTGCAGCAATAATGTTGTTATAATTGTGTTATCTAAAGCTTCCATCTATTTTTCTGGGCTCGCTAGAAGTTTCAGTTCCTGTAAGCTTAAATACATCGACCCTTTAAAAGCACAATCATGTGCTTGTGATCCCTAGAGAACACTAAGTAGATTTTCCACGCAATTAAGTTTATTATGTCCAATATCTGACTTAGCCAGAACCAACTGCTTTTCACAGGCTCTACAGTCACTCGTCTCCTTTCAGCTTAAATTAAAAGACATATTTTTTTCCTAATTTCCTACTTTTTTGTTGTTCCCCCTTTTCCCTCTAAAACCTAAAATTCTGGGGAACCCTGCAGGTTACACACAAATCCTGCAAGTTCCAAGACAGAACCCTGCCAAGCAGACTTTCTTTTGCACGCAGGGAAAGCAAAAGTCACCAACAGTATCTCAACACAGCACAAACTAGCCACCTCTGCATCATGAAAGATCTTGTAACACCTTCCTCAAGAGCACCTCAAACATCCACGCCCGATTACATCTCCAACAACACATAACAAACTGGATTTAGGCAACTGGCTTTCTCTTCCTAACTGAGCAATTGCTGCTAGGCACACTGGTAAAAGTGCTGGTCAACCAAAGGAGAACATTGACAAACTGGATACGTGTGCTTTTTAAATTATTTTGATAGATCACCAACTCAAAAATACCAAAATAAACTTTGAACTTCAACAGCAGTGAATGAGCTGGTTTGAGTTGGGCCTTCGATGCCTTACTGCTAGTTACAGCTACATTTATTGGCTTTAACCTGTTCTTGAGCCTCTAACACGTTATGCCGTCTTCAGGTCTGAAATCGAAGCGTCACCTCTGCCACCAGCATTGCTGTATAAAGACCAACGCTCTGGCTTACCACAGCTTTATCATGACAGTGTTCACAACATCCAAAGGGATTCCTGAGCCAATTCATGACCCTACTACGAGGTAATGTTATTTCCCACAGCTCTCAAGCACATCTCCAGAGCCAAACACCCTTCCCTGTCACCTTTAGCCCAAGCATACTAACTGACTGTGGTAGGAAACTTTTCAATACAGAACTACTAGGTGGTGTGAATTATGTATAAATTACATATATATTCAAATGAGTCCCAAAATAAAGTTTATTTCTATTCCTGAAACAGATTAATTTGTTGGAATTGTCTTCTAAAAAAAATCCTTTTATAGAGAGGTGACGAGAACACGGATAGAGGATTAATGGGAGATACAACAGTCCCTCACGCATTTCAACAAGCACTTAGGAATTATATTGCTATAAAAATGTAAATGCTGATCAAGACAGTTCGCTACGATGTTGCACACCCTTCTATGCTCCAGAAAGTGTCACTTTAAATCAGAAGTATTCCCAGCACTCCAAGAACCAATTTAAAGTCACAAGCACTTAAACAAAGTGGGAAGACTTAAAAAGTTCTCTCAACTCCTGCTCACAAGTACTTTACTCACTCTTGTCTGCTTGTTAGCCCAAGCAGATCCTTGAGCTAACCTCATTTGAAAACAGCGCTAACTGCTGGTCTTGCCATACGCCTCCCACAGCAGAGACTCCATCAGCTCCGGGAAGCCTTATCCGCACGATGAATGTGGATTTGGAGAAGAGAAAACCGAAACACAAACCCGCTCAGAGGGGAGATAAGCTCCAATAACGACATGGTTCAAAGGCAGCTTCCATGTTCGAAGCCAGCCAGGCCGAGGGACCGTTCCGCTCCCGCCAGCCCGGACCTCGGCCGCCCCATCCCACCAAGGCAGCTGCCGGTGGAGGAGGAGGGCGAGCACCGGCTACGGACAGCACTGCAAGGTACCGGGGGAAGCGAGAAGGAAGGGGCAGTCTCTGCCTTTCCTCCCGCCGCCATGAGCGACTTTCTGCTCGCTCCGCTTTCCCCCTGCAGCCACGGCCAGAAGTCACGGAGCTGCGGCCGGCCGCAGGGCGGGAGCGCAGCGGGCAAGGAGGAGGGAAAACCCTGCGGGAGCACAGCCGGGGCACCCAGCAGGGAAGGCCTGCCGGCCCCCGGGAGAGCCGCCCCGGCCCGCGGGCAGCGGAGCCGGCTCGGGGGAGCCCCCGGGGGGCTGCTGGAAGGGGAAACCGCTCGCCCCCCGCCACCAAAGGGATCCGCCGCCCCTGCCGCCACCGGGGCGCTGAGGG